CTCCACCTGCCACCTCCAGCTGTGCCGTTGCTCTGAGTCTGGCTGGTGGGGGCACCCTCCTGACCCCCTACCTCCTCTGTCCCCCAGGAGTCTGTCAAGGCTAACGAGCAGCTGCTGGAGCAGCTGCAGGAGCTGGGACAGGAGAAGCAGCGCCTCCTGCTGGAGCTGGATGAGACTCGAAAGGTGAGAGGGATGGTTCCATCCCAGAGCTGAGCACACCTCTGCTTTCATTAAGCAGCATTATATTCAGCTGTTCCCTAGCCACCCCACCGCAGAGCTGGCTGCATCTCTGCCTTTCCTGGGCCTTGTTTTACTAGCCCATTAGCTGACCCACCCCAGAGCTGGCTGCATCTGGGTCCTCCCTTTGTGGTGTTATACTCTGTGACTTCCCAGCCGCCCCACTCCAGACCCAGCTGCATTTTGGCTCTCCTGTAGCAGTGTTGTGCTTCACCATTTCACCCTGCAGCTGGGCACATCTCAGCCCTCCCTTCATGGCATTATACTTGGCCATTCCCCAGCTGCTCCACCCCAGAGCTGTCTGCATCTGGGCCCTCTATGGCGTTATACTCAGCTGTTCCCCAGCTATTACCCCTCCTCTACCTTCCATGCTGACTGCATCTTGGCTCTCAGAGCAGTGTTATGCTTGGCTCTTCCACCCCAGAGCTGGCCACATCTCAGTTGTCCTTTCATGGCATGGTACTCTGCTGTTCCCTAACTGAGCTGGCTGCTTCTCAGCCTTTCTTGGTCCTTGTTATATTGGATTGTTTCCAAATGACTCGCGCCAGAGCTGGCCTCATCTTGGTTTTCACAGTGTGGCGTTATAATTGGTTGCCTCACCTCAGAGGTGGGCACATCTTAGACCTCTCTTTATGGCCTTATAGTCAGCCTTTTTTTACTGCCCCACCCCAGAGCAGGCTGCTTCTCAGCTCTCCCAGAGTGGTATTATATTTGGCTGTTTTACCCCAGAGCTGGCCACATCTTCCTCTCCCATTCTCCCTGCTGCCTGCCTGGAGCAGGGGGTTTCTCTGAGTCCCATGTTTGTCGTCGTTCCCCCCACCCCGAGCAGACTGCTGAGAAGCGCAAGGGGCTGCTGGATGAGCTGGCAATTGAGGGGCAGCGGGAACGTGGTCGGCACCAGGAGGCACTGGAGGGGCTGCGGTTGCAGCAGGAGAAGGCAGTGCTGGGCCTACGGGCGCGCTACGAGCGGGAGCTGCGGGAGCTCCATGAGGAGAAGAAGCGGCATGAAGATGAACTGCGTGGGCAGCTGCGTGACGAAAAGGTGCTCCTGTCTGTCCATTTTCCCCACCCCCCACATCCACCCTGCCCCAGAGCTGAGTGCATCTGGGTCCTGGATTGAGTGCCGTTATACTCGGCCATTCCCCAGCCTCCCCATCCTAGAGGTGGGTGCATCTAGTTCTCCCTTTATGGCATTTTATTTGGCCATTCTCCAGCTGAGATGGCTGCATCTCAGTGTTTCTTGGGCCTTGTTTATACTGGATTATTCCCAGCCATTTCACCCCTGTGCTAGCTGCATCACAGGTGATGTTATATTTTTCTATTACCCAGCCTTCCCACCCCAGAGCTGGCTGCATCTTGGCCTTCCTTGGGTGCTGTTACGCTCAGCCATTCCCTCCCCAACCCCAGCCTATACTCGGTCACTTTCTCCCCCTAAGCAGGCCCGGAGCCGGGAGCTAGAGACAGTTCAGCAGACAGCTGAGGAGCTGCGACTTCAAATCCAGGCCATGGATGGCACCAAGGGCTGGTTTGAGCGGCGCCTGAAGGAGGCTGAGGTGAGGCTGGCCCTGGATTGGGGCTGCTGGGGGGTGGGGC